CTCAACTGAAGAAGCTAAATTTAATATAATGAGTTGCTGTGAAAACGTCAACTAACGCGATCGCAATTCATTATTTTAAAGATATAAGGTTTAGACCAAAGTCTAGACCTATTTGTTTCATATTCACACACAATTTTTAAAAAAACTTGTCCATTTAATTTCATATAAATATCACATTCTGACCAGCCTGAACGGTTTAAAGTCAGATGAAAAACGGAAGTCATTATGGGGTATTGAACGACATATTGTATTTGGCATAAAACTTGTTGTGAAATGATAATTATTATAATGTATGCAGTATATGGAGTGGGGTAGTATTGACCTGATGTTATCTGTTTGGATGATATGATTTCTAAGTGCCGTTTCGGCCATTTTTAACATGTCATGATCTGTAATTTTATTTCATTGTACTCAGCCATGTTTGCAATTTCATCATTGAAAGATATACGCAAGAACAACGTTTACAATTAAATTTAATTATCAAAATAATCGTTCTCAATTACTTTTCGTGCGCTTTTGCATCTCCGATGATGCTCATTTTCATCTGCTGCGGAAATAAAGAAACTGTCGATGTCATGAACAACCACATTATAAATTGACAGTTTTGTGGTTTTGTCTGGTGGAATCATCGTTCGTTCTTCTTTCGAAATAAAGCTGGTGACACCGTTACTGTGAATTAAGAGCGGCCATCAATGATAACCAATTTTATGGACGAAATTGAAGATGCGTGAAACATCCGGTTCCAATAAGACGCAACTAAGTGCTACACCTGAACAAACCGAATTATTGCGAGAAAAGTTTGGAATTTGATATTTTAAGAAATTGTGACATTGAATGGCTTCTAAAAATATGTGATTTAACACCATTAGATTACTTCTTGTGGGGTTATTTGATCATAAACGTCAGGCAATAAACCATCTCTCTTAAAGCTTTAGGAGTCAATATTAACGTCTATTCATGACATACGACTTGATTTAGTGAAAAAGTACTCGAAAATTAAGTTCATCGAATCCTCTTACAAAAGTCATGGAGGCTATTTGAATGATATACTATTCAGAATTTAATTGTATCGATTGTATTACTTCATATAAAATAAAAAACTGACTTTCCTTAACAATTAGTAGGTGCTTTTTTAAATTATATTACTCTTATTGAAAACCCTGTATTAACTTGCCACAAACTAATAAAATGCTCCCAGGTTTTCATTCAGATACCTCACATACCATCACCAATCATATGAAGTAAGGTCAGTCGGCTGTTCGAAAATCCTGATATTAGTTTGGTCACTCCTTAATTTATCTATTTAGGCACAAAAATACACTGCTATAGTAAAACACGCTTTCTTATTTTGTAGATAACTAATATATCGAATATATGTGTATAGTCACCCTAGTTCGAATATCTTTATTTTAGGCATACGGGTATAGTAAATATTGACCCGATTCAACACATATTTACATACAGACATACTAGTATCAAGAAAGGATCCTCTCTGAAATTCAATTACATGTATATCTCACACATTGAGATATTTCCAAAAAGTCAACTATAGTTACTAGTGTCCACATATTCTACGTGTGCCTTCAACAGTTTTGTTCGATTTGCACAATTTTGTCATTGATGGCATATTTTAAAGCACTATTCGTGCAAAGTTTTATTCCGATATATTAATTGCTGATTTGTATACCGGAAAGTGAGGAATCAGATGGAATTTATAATGTGCTAGAGGACTACCCTGTTTTGTATATTATTATATATAAAGTTGAAATGATTAATACTATTGTAAATTCCTTCGATTTGTTATTAAACACAAATAAACATAAAATATAATATGTTGATTTTTATTTTATTAATTTTATATTCAAGTATGAAACAAATGAGTAATTTTCAAAGTTTTGATACATAACGTTTGAAATAATGAAAGAGGTTTATCGTTCTTAATTTTTAACAATAGTATTTATAGTTTTTATTTATAAACATTTTCAATCAATAAATTAAGCTCTATTTGTAACGTAGTTCTGACAATATCATTGGAAAACTGTAAGAGGACCATTTCTCCATTAAATTTTCCATCAAAATAGTTGCTACAATAATATTTAATATTGATTTTCGAGTGTACCTTGCATAATTGAGTGAATTGAAATAGCTCTGAATAATTTTCACAAAGATTATGTGATGTCATTCCGAATATATCTAGATAATTTAAATACGTTTTCATTCACATTAACAACAGTAGCGAATTATTTAAAATAGACGATTCTATGCTATCTCCTCACCAATTTAACAAATCGTTAATGTCATAAGTTATAAATATTGTAGCTAACACTTCATTTCGAGCTTCGCGTTGCTCATCAGTTTCATTTGCTCTTACATACTTGTATCTTTGACTTGCAGTATTTCGAGTTCTGCGGCCTAAGTTTCTACGTCTACTTGGTGGCAGTTTAAAAAACGAAAATCCAAATGAAAATAAAAAATTACTCCCTTATATTTTCTGTTTAACCATGTATACGAAATTTTATTATGGTTTAATCATCAAAAGTGCCCAAAAATCGATAGTAAGCTGTGAACTTACCGTGATTAACAAACACTTATTAGCAAACAACAAACTTCTTAGTCTTTAAAACAAAACAAACTTTATCAAAAACTTAATAAAATTATAGTTAGCGCTATGTTAGGTTATGTGTGTCAGATTAGCACAGATTACTAAATAGGTTATGCGAAGTTTGTATACTGCGTTCTGAAATCTAACTCATAGTACAATATACATATTTTATTATTATTAAATACTTACATTTAAATGAAATCATCACTGATATTATTAATATTACCGTCAAAGTCAGTACATTTAATTGTGGCGAGTAATTTTCAAAAATTAGCAAATTAGTGCGATAGAATTTAATTAAGTAACCACATTTCCGAACAAACGATGCTCTTTCAATATAGTCTATGGCTGTGAGTTACGAAGACATTCGTTGCGCGCGTTTTTAAAATATGTAACATTAAATATATTTTTTCAACCTTTCTCAGACATTTTCTTAATATTTTCTACAGAGTATTAGAAAACTACAAAAAAAAAAACAGCCAAATCGGTCTAGCCGTTCTCAAGTTATGGCGTGACAACGGGAAACGGGTTTCGTTTTTAAATATATAGATTATATGGGAAGTAGGCGTGGTTGTATACACTGTGCAACCCCGCTGTCCAATTTTTGTATTGGGTTTTATAAAGCTTATATGTACCATTCTATTTGTAAAATTCAAAGTCTCTGACTTGTTTATTTAATGAGTTATCGCACCAGTAGTTTTAATCAATACCGGTATATGGGGAGTGGGCGTTGAGAACATCAGCGATGACACACACATCCCACACCAGCAACTAACAAAAAGAAATGGATCATCGCACCCAACACATTCGAGTACGACAATCATCTAGCGCGCTCCCTTTATATGTTCTCGCCGCTGCGTTCGTCTAAATCCATTTTTTAATAACTATACCGAAATAAAAACGTCATAATTTTAAATATATAGGTTTTTGTTAGTGACGTTATGGAATTATTCACAAAATTAAACAAATATTTTTATTTTATAATTTAGTATGAATAACACGGTGCTATCCCCATAAAATTGGGTATACAAATAGTCATGGTGCTTCGAGCCTCACAGAAAAGCACTATTGGATTTGAAATAAATCTTAAAACAAAGGCAAGAACAAAGTGTTGTAGCGACAAGTGCAGTGAGACAAAAAGTGGTGTTGCAAAGAAAAATACACATATATGGTACATCCGCATATTTGGTGCCTGGACCCGTTTTCGACAAGCTTTGGGCGTTAGATTAAATATTTTGAGGGCATTTTTTGTTTAAAGTGAAAGAATCAAAGTTTGTTATATGGGAAGTAGCCGTGGTTGTAACAATCGATTTTCACAATGTATAATAAAAATGATTGGGTAGCCTGACACAAATTTGGTTGTAGATGGTCTAGTGATTCCCATAAAGCTCTTCCCTTCCAACCTGGCTGTGAAATTTGATGTTTGAGGCTCTTTTATTCACTGAGTTATCGCACTTATAGTAATTTTCAACATAACCGTTATATGGGGAGTGGGCGTGGTTATAATTTGATTTTCCCCTTTTTCAAAGTGTATAAAGAGATGTTAAAAATACTTTTTCTCAGCGAGTTAGGTTGAGATCGCTTCATTGATTCAGAAGATATGTACATTTAGCCATTTAGAGGGCAAGGCCACACCCACTGTTTAAAAATGTTTAGCCTACAAGTGACCCTTACCACTGCGATCCCTTGCACCAAATTACGGTTTTGTATCTTAATTTAGGGCTTAGTTATGAAACTTTATAGGTTTCGTTTAATGGCGTTTTATGAGAATGGCAGTGGTCCGAATACGCCCATCTCAATTTTTACTCCACTTATCGCTTGCACGGACAGACAGCTACCCGAATTCTAATTCGTCTCGTTATCCTGATCATTTATATATACTAGGGTCACCAGTGGTCGGAATTCGACCAATAGAAAATACAATTTGTTTACAATATTAATAATATTTAAATTTTATTGGAGAATTTGAACAAAATCTTAAAAAAGGTGTAGAAAACAATCTGCGTATATCTTTATCACGATTCATGGTAATTGCCATACAAATCATGTGCCATGTTAAAATCATCACCAAATTTTCTGGTATTCAATTAAATCTTCACAAAACTGGCGGACATTAGATTCAACAGTCCCAATTCTCTTTAGCAATTTAACGAATTCCAACCATTCGGGGAGTGCTCTTATATTTTGAGTTAACGTTATATGATTAAAAACGGGAATTCTGCCCAACTCGTAATACAATTTTCCAATTAATTCCTTTATTATTGGTGAGTTTACTTTTTTCTTTACTTTCAATTTGTAAACAAAATTATGAACATAATTTGTATGTTTGGTTGGGGATATTTATTGCTAATCAGTCATTCATTCAATTCATTAAATTTTTTCGATGCGCACAGATACATCTATTTCATCATGAATTACCGTAAATCGCTAACAGGGAGAGTACAGAGACAAAGAAATAGAGAAATGTGCAACTGAGTAGAACACGAACTGTAATTAATACTACAAATTGAAATTGAATTTGAAGTTGATGGTAAGTTAAAAATAATTCAGTTCCTTTGCGAAGTTCGCTCATTGATTGAAATATCGCCTAATTTTAATCCATTTTGCTTCAGAGTTTACATTGCGTGAACTAAATTCCTTCACTATGGGTTGTAATAAGGGTAAAGTCCATTTCCACAATTAACACAAAAAGCTATTTTTAATTCACTATATATATGACGGTCTCACATCAAATGATAAAAGTATATAGAAAAACTCTAAACACTTTGCGCGAGAATGACTCACCAAAATAAATCGCATGATATCAAAGGTTAAAGTGGAACAATGTGTTTTTTTTACAAACAATATTTGAAATTTAATGTGCGTTAAAAATGTAATTGTAACAGAATTCAGTGTTGCAACACGCAAAGTCCAAACACAAAGAAAAGTAGAAAAAAAGTCGCAACCACAAATCCACCGTAAACGATACACAATTATCCGATGTACGAAGTGCGTTTAGAAAAAAAAATTTAATTAATTTTTAATCAATATCTATATTGTCCCCTTCAAAGTAATCTCCATCAGATATATTACGTTTGCGCCAACGCTTTTTCTAATCCTCGAAGCCCTTCTGAAATGCGCTTTTCGGTATGGCCATCAGCTCTTTCTTCGATTCTGACTTGATCTCAATTGTGGCAAAACACTTTCCTTTCATTGGTTTCTTCAGTTTTGGGAATAGAAAAAAGTCACAGTCAACCAAAATTACCCGTTTGAGCAAACCCGGATCGTTGTTGACGCCATTCAACATTTCCTGAGCGATACTAATGTGACATTTCTTTTGCTCAAAATTTAGCAATTTCGGAACAAATTTCGCTGCCACACGTTTCATGTTCAAAACATTCGAGAAAATTGAATCCTCTGTATCTCCCCTAATACTGATTCGACGAACAACTTTTTTCCATTCCATTTTTAACTCAAAATTTAATACATGTTCTTTGATCCATTTCTTTCAAATGTCAAAAATCGAAGAGCACATGAAAACTGACTAACCTTTTCTTGTCAAAAACAAACTACTAATCGAAATTGGCTCCTAATGCAAGCACATGATAAACATACATATGTGCCCGATTGTGACATAAAAAAAATATCGATAATCGAATATACACAGCCCGCGAAAAATCAAAATTCACCTTTTCCTTTGAACACACCTCGTATTTATTTGCAACTTATCCAAAACAGCGACGAAATGTACTTCTGTATACGACTGTGTCAAGTGTGACGTCCAAATGAGAAATAATAATGAAAACACGCCACCGCGCTTGTAGTTATAGTAGTCGCTAAATTTGCGCCAACACATTTTTACCTGTGTCCCGTTGACGTTCATGCGAAAAAATAACGTTGTGCATTTATGCACTTTTTCTCCTTTGCAACGGTATATATTTTTAAATATGTTACCGGCAACACAGTCAAAATGGGAACACAAACTTTTTTGTTAGCGTAAATATATTATATATAATAACAAAGCACAAACTAAGAAATAACAACAAAAAACGTTAACTTCGGTTGCACCGAAGCTATAATACCCCTCAAAAATACAAAGGCTCCTTACAAGAACTTGATTCCGATCTTTTAATTTGTATGGCAGCTATATGATATAGTGATCCGATCTTAACAATTTCTGCGGAGAATACATTGTTGCCGTAAAAAATAACTCATGCCAAATTTCGTAAAGATATCTCGTCAAATATAAGTTTCCCATACAAGCACTTGATTCCGATCACTCAATTTGTATGGCAGCTATATAAGATAGTGACAGATGTAAAATTTCAGATCGATAGCTTAAAAACTGAGGGACTAGTTTGCATATATACAGACGAACGGACGAGCAGACGGACGGACATAGCTAAATCAACTCAGCTCGTCATGCTGATCATTTATGTATATATTTTATAGGGTCAACGACATTTTCTTGTGGGTTTTACATACTACGTGACAATCTTAACATACCCTGTTCAGAAACAAAAATATATATATGTATGTACATATGTATATACATAGTTACATATATACTAAATACTTATATACATACTTACGGTGTGCGAAAAAAGTGCATGTGAACAGCTAAAAATACAAGAGAGTTCCAAGAAACATAAAACCACAAAATCGATCGCGAAACCATTATACGAAACATAATTATAAACTAATATTCGGACGAGAACAAAAAGTACAAACAGCAAACACCACAGGCACAACCAGCTGGAAGGAGCAACGGAGCAAAATTGGCGACAAATGTTATAGACATACATACATACATCCTCAAAGAACGTCCCTTGAGAAAAAACAAAGCTAGCAAAGTCATTTAATTTGGCTTAATTTATTAAAATACATATACCTATATATGCATATATACATACATATGTATTTAAAAAATAAATTTTACGATAAAATACGTAATTCAAAATTCGTTTTAACAACATTATAAAACGGTTACTAAACTGTTATAGGTTTCGGGGTTAGGTTAGGTAAGGTTAGAGGGTCGATCCTAAGAAGGATCACACTTGGACAGCTTAAACGCCGGTCCGTTGTGGTACCCAAAACTCCTATGAGTCGGATCGATAGACCCTTACATGTCGACAAAGCCCTTTGTGCCTATGACAAACTTGTTGAGACGGCCAATATCTGTTTCGGCCAAATCTTCTGGTCCGCCGAAAGAGTGATTGCCGAGATGTTTCAGTCTCTGCCTAGCAAAAGCCGGACAGTGGAGGAGAAAGTGCCGGGATGTTTCCACTCCATACAGCTTTGACAACTGCCATCGGGTAGTATTCTAAGCCGCACCGCATGAGTTCCCATTGGACAGTGCCCAGTGAGAACTCCTACCATAGCGGCGAGGTGAACTTTGTTCAAGGCGAGAAGATCCCCCGACCTCCTGCGATCAACTCTCGGCCAGAAGGATCGCGCAGGAGCAGGTCATCGACCAGCGTCTGCTGAGCTCCTGCGAGGTCCATTGGTCCAGAGCCAGAATGCAAGACGTTAGTGGAGAACCAACTCGATCCCATTCCGATGTGAGCGGGGCAAAGGTGCCCCTCCTGGCCAGCTCATCGGCCTTGCAATTCCCAGCGATTCCGCTGTGACCGGGCACCCAAACGAGCCTGATATTGAAGTAGCCTGATGCTAATTCTAGCGAGGACAGACACTCCTTGACTAGCTTTGAATGCACGGTTCGCGCACTCAGGGCTTGTATTGCCGCTCTGCTATCGGAGTGAATGCTCACCTCTCTAAACGAAGCTACACTACGTAACAGTACTTCTACCGCCACCTTGATCGCGGCCACTTCCGCCTGAAAAACGCTACGCTAACGCTCGAGTGGCCGCTGTGACGCAGTGATCCAAATTTTCAGGAATGCAGGTGAAGGAGGAGAGAAATACGGCGTGTCCTTGTTCGGACGTTTTCAAAAGCCCAGCTTTTCTGAGCCTAATAGCACACCTCGCAGCAATGCACCTACCGGCAATGTCCACAGGTGCTATATTTAATATAGCGTTGAGGGCTATCGTTGGTGTGGTTCGCAGTGCACCGGAGATTCCGATGAGCGCTCTATGGACTCGCTCAAGCTTTTTAGCCAGGGTAGTCTTTTCGAGCGCCTTCCACCAGACGATCACACCATAGAACAGTATTGGCTTGACTACGGTTTCGTAGAGCCAGAACACCACCTTTGGTGACAGTCCCCACCTTTTCCCTATAGCTCCCCTGCAGCAGTATAAGGCGACCGATGCCTTCTTGACTCTCTCCTCGATGTTCGGCCTCCAAGAAAGCTTTCTATCAAGGATGAGCCCTAGGTATTTCACCTTATCAACAGGTTGAAGACGTGAACCCCCGAAAGAGGGGAGAGGCACATTTGGGATCTTATACCTCCTAGTGTATAAATCCATTTCGGTTTTACTTGGGTTGACGGCTAGGCCGCTTCTGTTTGCCCAGTTGGATACCACGTTTAGGTACCCTTCGGTGAGCTCATAGACGGTATTCAGGAATTTACCTTTAACCATAAGAACCACATCATTAGCACAGGCTATCACCCGACAGCCTTGCTCCTCGAGTTCTATAAGTACCATCAAGATCCAGAGCAGTGGGAGAGTACTCCTCCCTGCGGAATTCCCCTATTAACCTTTCTAGTTGACTTGGCACCACCCCACTGCACTACGACAGTTCTTCTTCGTAAAGAAGACTGAAAATGAGGTGTTTGAGGTTCTATTCCACCTCAAACTTTTCGAGGGCTTTAACCACTGCCTCTGGCCGCACGTTATTGAAGGCCCCCTCGATGTCGAGAAAGGTGCCCACTGCAAATTCTTTGTGCAACAGCGCTATCTACAGCCATGACACTACATCATGCAAAGCAGTGTCGACCGACCTGCCCTTGATATAGGCATGCTGCGCCCGTAACAGTTTACCCCTCGGTATTCTTTACCTAATATACAGATCCATAAGTCTCTCCAGCGTTTTCAACAGAAACGAGGATAGGCTGATGACGCAACCTTAACCTGTCTCCAGGCCTTCGGGACATGGCCCAATCTAACACAGTTCGCGTAGATAGGGGTCAGCCAGCTACATGACACCTTAACCGTTCGCTGTAGTTGCGCTGGTATGATGCCATCAGGACCTGGGGACTTGAAGGGCTTAAAAGATTTCAGCGCCCAGGTAAGGTGACGCTCATCCAGAAGGTCCAAGAAGGCTGTACAGCCTTCCTGAAGCTCCCCCAGTGGCACTTCTTCAGCAAAGCGATCTAGTGGAAAATGAGCATCTAGGAGTAGCCTCAGCGACTCCTCGCTGCTCGTAGTCCACCCGCTATCTGCAGTCCTTAGATACCCCACTGGAGTAGGATTTTTTGCACAAATGCGTCTAAACCTTGAGGACTCGTGACAACCCTCTACACTGCCGCAGAAGGCTTTCCACGAAGCCCTCTTGGCTTTCTTCAAGTCGGACTTGTAAATGGCCAATCCGGCCTTGTACAACGCCCAGTCGTCGCTAGAGCCACTTTTACGGGCTTTATTGAAGAGTCTT